ACTTTATACAACCGGTTTTTCAAATCCGAATTATATAAATTCGGATTAATCCCGTAGTGTAGACATACCCTAAAAAATCAATTCCCCCCCCCCCCGGCATTTCCAAAGAGCTTCTATAGCCTGCTAAGCGGTTGGGTTTGGTTTTGTACTCGCCAGCAAATTTACTGCTAGGAAATGACCTGTAAAACAGAACGAGCCTGGGCTGACAAATCCCAGGTAAGAGCTCAGGGCAGACCTTGCCCAAAGCTCCATTTGCATCCCTCCCCCACTTCTGTGTTGCCTTCAGCTCCAGGACGACAGCTGCGGCTCTCTGGGGTTGTGGCTTTTCTTTTATTATGGTGAGTGAACTAACCATAAAACAGCTCACAACTGTAATAAAATCCCAGACACAGGGGATATGGCTCTGGGTTATTATGCTTTCCTGGAACTGCAGAATAGGAAAGGTGGTGTGCTCTGAACAATAATAATGAAGCCCAGAGGGGTCTGGAATCAGTCAGGCAGGTAGATGGCTTTCAGCAGGATGGTGCTTTCCTTTCAACTATGGTCAAGGACCCCAAGCTGCCAAAAGACAGAACGCAGGCGCGTTTCATTTCTGGAGCTTCACCTTCTCTCCTGGGGGCTGGCCGAGTCAAGGGTCTCCCGCTGAAGGGATGGCATGCAGTGCGGTTGTATCTGGAACCCCAAGCTCGTATGTGCGTGTGTGTGTGTGTGTGTGTGTGTGTGTGTGACCAGATCTGTCTCTTTCACTCACATCCACTATGCACATGTGTTGGTGATACCCCTAATTCCTCCAAATGTTCCTCCTTTTCTTTAAAATAATGTAGTGAATTTACTGCTAATTTAAAACACGATGGATCGATGGCCGTTCGGCCAGCATTTCTGTTTAAGTACAGCCCCAGCAAGCATGGAAACTTCTATTTGCTCCTACAATTCATTTTGCAAGTGCAAATTTCACGGGTGAAAGTTGTGTCAGGAAACAATGAACACAGCTGAAAACAGATCCAGACAGCCCATGCAATGCAGCCATCCGCAGCTAAGGGCGTGCATGGGTTATTACTCAGTAATACCACACGAATAGCATACATATCTCTAGATCTGCCATCCAGGAACCTCAAAACACTGCACAAACATTACGTCCACTCTGACTTTGAGATAATGGGTCAATTTCCTTGGCACCCACACATTATGAATCAGCCATGACCACCGTCAAGAATATGATTCATCGTTGCAAAGAGTGAAGTTAGCCTCTCAACACCCTGACATAGGGCTGTGTTATCCCACTTTAAAGATGAGCCATCAAACAGGGAGACAGTGTGTGACTTGCCCAGGAAGTCTGTAACAGAGCTAGGAGCGGAATCCAGATTCCCCAGCTCCCAGTCTTTTGGTTTCATCACAAAATCAGCCTTCCCCACAGTCCCCCCTTGGATGTTTCAACCCCATTTCACAGGGGAGGGAGCCGAGGCAGAGAGGTTCACAGAGTTGCTGCAGGTGAAGGAGTGAGCCACTGGGGTTGGCATGCAGAAGTCCTGGCACTCAGAACCCTGCTCTAACTGCTAGCCCACCACAGTGCTTGTGCTGCCAGGCTGCATGACTGCCGCCAGACTGAACCTTCCCCTGCCTCTGGATTTCACAGGGAACGGTGCTGACACAAGGCAGCTACAATCCCCGGCTCACAAGGAATCGGAACAACAGGGCTGCTGTTCCCAGGCAGAGCCGGGGTGGGGGCTGGGAAGTGGGATTTTAATGCCTCTGAATGACCAAAGTTCCAAAAGGCGCCCCAGGGGACAAGGTGCAGTGCACCTCGCCAGCGATCCCAGGTACGGTGCACCTTCCCAGGTAACCTTGGGGAGTGGGGACAGTTCGGCTGGGAAATGTAGCTCCCTCCCTTTGTAGGTGAACTGGTTTCCCAATGACAGGGTTCAGAGTAGCAGCCGTGTTAGTCTGTATCCACAAAAAGAACAGGAGTCTTTGTGGCACCTTAGAAACTAACAAAGAGCATTTCATCTTCCACAGTCTGATGTACAGTCTGGGTAGAGGCCTCTGTGCTGGCTGGGAGTCAGCCCTCGCCCTCAGGTCTAATCGCATTGGCCTGTCGGAGGGCAAGGGAGGAGAGGAGAGTACCTCAGGTTGCCAAAGGGGCCAGGTGCTTAGGCGCCGGATGATGCAGGTAGGTGCTTTTGTCCACAAGCTGCCTAAGGAGGTTAGGTGCTTAACTCCCAGGAAAGTTGATGGGACTTTGGTGTCTAATGCACTTAGGCACTTTTGTAAATCCCACTCAACGCCCATCTGCATTGTTAGGCACCTAAATCCCTTTGTATATCTTTCCCAAACTCTTTGGAGTCTCCTGAGATACTCAAGCCCCAGCCTGTCAACCCATGCACACACCACAGTGCCCATCACCATAGTATCTAGGCACAGATCTCCGGTGTAACACCCATCACCATAGGACCTCAGTATAGATCTACCTCAAACACGGGATCTAGCACGCAGCACCCACAGGTCACCATCCCCACGTACGAGGAAGACTTAGTACAGGGGTCCTCCTCCACCAAGAATTCTGCTCTTAAAAACCAGCGCCCTGCCTGGCCCACGAAGCCTCCAGAGACACCGGCGAGATGGTGGTAGGGACAGCCCCAGGCTCTCTTATGGGACAGCAATGCTCTTCCGCATGGGGTTTAATCCTTACTGAACCATTGCAGAGCAGACTGCAGTAGGGTTGATGCGGGAGAGAGAGGGACGGGGCGGGGGGGGGGAGGGGAGAGGAAGATAGCCTCTTATTGCTAACAGCAGAAACCAGAGCTCTCCAGGGAGACATATGCGGCTGTCTCATCTGTTCCATGGCCACTGAAACGGCAGGAGGCTCTGGGTATGAGGGGATCTGGATGCAAGGGGGTTGCAGCTGAGCAGTGATGGGTGCAGGAAGTGTTGGGGGAAGAGGACTAGCAGCTGAGCCTGGCGCAGGGTAGGAGCCACCAGCCCGGTCTTCCCCAGTTCTGCCCCCTGCCCCACAGTGATTTACCTCTCTGCCGGCTGTCCTGGGCACCTGAAACATACTGCTGGGGAGGGTCACATGACCGCTCTTGTGACTTCCCTTTGCTTCCCCGTCAGAAAGTCATATTTCTGCGAGGAAGCAAAGAAATCTGTGGGAGTCATAAATTCTGCACATGCGCAGAATTCCCCCAGGAGTAAAAGTTGCTCCCAGCAGAGAATAATCACCTAACAGGAGAGCTGTTGGTTCCACACTCCCCCATATAATCTGGGCTCAAAGCTGCCAGGCTCTCGCTCGCTGGTCCCTTACCTTTGCAAGTTTTCCTGTCTGGCTGCAGCATGAAGCCCATTGGGCAGCTGCAGTGCACACCCGTGGCTGCGTCATGGCACTTGCTGTCACAGCCCCCATTGTTCACGGCGCAGGTCTCTGCATGGGGAAGAAAAGAGAGAGGTTAGCAATAAATGCTTTTAAAGGATGCCCAATCTAGGAGTGAGGTGCAAACACGCTGCTGAGGTGACTTCGTGCTGGGTGGGTTCGAGATCCCAAGTGGAAATATCTACACTGCTATCTTTAGTGAGTTTCACTACACGGGCTCGGCAGCTTGGTCCCCCAGCTGCAGTTAGACATACCCAAACAGGCCAAATTTCCAGAAAGAGCTGAATGACCTCTGCAAATCCAGCCTCTTTTTTGGGCATCCCTTTTTGAAAGTCTTGTCACATGGCTCAGCGGTGGTCTGAATGTAATGGCAGAGCAACAAAACCCAGGGCAGGGCTTTCTACAAGCGAAGAGGATGCTTACCTGTGCCTAGGGAGGAGAGAGCAAATCTTCTGATTCACCGGTAGAGAAACCAGTCATTAATAGCGACACCATCACACACACACACACGCATGCACACACTCATTCAGAATTTGCAGGATCTTTTCTCCCTGTATTAGTTTTAACCTCCCTTTGGAGGGAAATACGGAGTTTGGCTTTTTCCATCTGGAAAGCACTGATTCTTTGCCTGAGGGTTTCCCAAGAAAGCCGGGGAATGGTGGGAGAGACGCACACATCTGTTTGTGCACCAACATCACACATGTCGACCATACAGGGCCCGCTAAGTGACCTACTGCTGAGCGGACGACAAAGGGACCAGGAGACTGCAAAACTTGAGAATAGGTCCTACATAAACACTGAACAGCTGTTGCCACTGGTTGTCTTTAATGTCTCAGCAACAGAATCGTGGGTTTTCTTTTTTAATAGATGCTCAGGTTCTGGAGGACAACTGCTACTAGCTTAAATTAAAATACTCTTGTAGAAATTTTAAGGCAGGTCAAATGTGGGGCATAAATCTACTTGGCAGCATCCCACTTGAGCACAGCCTTCCTAATGCTTTGCATTTCTATCGTGCCTTTCTTCGGAGGATTTCAAACCATTTGACAGCATTCGTTAGCCTTCCCCACATCCTGAGGGGTGCATTGGCATTATCATCCTGGTTATAGTAACTAATCCCAGGTCTTCTGGTGTGTCGATGGCAGAGCAGGAAAAAGAACCCAGGAGTCCAGGTTCCCAGTCCCCCACTCTACCCCCTAGATAACCCTCTCGCCTTCAAAGAATCTGCTCATTAATAACAGACAGGAAAGGGGAACTGGTCTGTTCTATCAGGAGACGCTTTCTCTATTAAAACAACATGTCAGGCAGTAACACAGGTAAAAGCCAGAGCGGCTGCTCAGGAATGTTTGGAGATGGGACTTGAGATGAGATTGAGGCACAGCAGTTTGCTGGCAGGTTTCAGGGGAGCACATGTGAGCTAGTTAAATCCCTGTAGGAGGCCACCTGTCACTCCCAGGCACTGGGAAAGTGGAGTTTGTTTGTGACTGGAAGAGGTTCTGGCTTCCCAAAGGAGCAGGCTGTTCTGGTCCCCATCCAGCAAAGAACGTATGCATGTGCCGAGTTCCACGGGGCTCCTCGTGTGCTTAAAGCTAGGCACAGGGAGTGGTTAAATAAAAAGTTTTACAAACCCCAACGTTAGTAGAAATGGTTTTTCCCTTTAAAGACAATTATAATTCAAGGGGAATAGAGTTCTGGGGATGATTTAACGATGCCAGGGCAGAGTTTGCAACCCATACACAGCAGCGCTGGGCTAGAGGGGGGGACAAGAAGTGACTAACTAGAAACATGGGGCCAGATTTACAAGTGCTCAGCAGAGAATAATTCTCAAAAATGCCTAAAATGCCCCATTTTCAAACGTGACTTTGAAGTCAGATCCTCAAAGGTATTTAGATGCTAACTCCTATTGAAATCAATGGGATTTAGCTTCCTCAATTAGGTAGACATACTTGAAAATGTTACCTGCAATTCACCATCAGATTTTCAAAAGCCCTCAGGCTCCCACCGTGGCAGATCTGCTGGACAGATTTTCAAAAGAGCCCATCACCTGTGTGCCGGGCTCTTCTGAAATTTGGAACAGATTCAGCCATCCTTACTCATGCTCAACAGCACCTTGCTTCATGAATAGTTCCCTGGCAGAATAAACAGAGGTATGGACAGTGGGACTGGCCCCATGAAATGAAAATGGCAAATCTATTTGCACTGTCCAAGCTGAATGAAGGTTTGCAAAATAAAACCACATACACACTGCAGTAATGGCAAAGCGCACGTTCGATTTTTTACAATGTTAATTACTGCCTGTCATCAAATTCAGCCGTTGTTGTTACAACAGGAAGAGGCATTATTTTAAATGCAACATTTTCATCTTGCACAATGTCCCTGTGAAACCAAATCTTTGGTTTTTGTACTAACTACTAGAACAATGCTTTGAAATTCATTAATGAAGACCAATAAAGTTTCCCTTCCAGAACATTAGCTACTTGAATGACCGAGACATTTGGGCTCAAGGAACCTAATGTGCTAACCCGCCAAAGAAATTCGTTGGAAAAGAGCAAATTCCAGGTTGTCTCTCTTTGCGGGAACCACATGAAGTGTAATTGACTGAAACGCCTAACCCCTGTCTGCTGTGCTGGGGATTTGGGATTATTATTCTGTGAATGTCCTGCTGCTGCTATTTTTATGCTGTCTCATCACAAGAGAACAAAGGGACCATTCTATGAAATATATGGCCAGTAGAGTTACAAAATGTAATGCTAAGGACATATTTCTTCACCTATCTATGTACCCAGATGCTTACACAGCATGCAGCCAACCACCGGAACTCCCCTCTGCAGGAAAGCAGATAGCCTAATACTACGGCTGGATAATGTTATGACCATTACGGACAACTGCAGTTATGCAAGAGCTGGAGGTGAGCAAATGGCATCTCTCATGCCATGATTGTCACAGGGGTCAGAGCTGGGTTTGAGTCGGTTTTCTGAGCGGGGAGGTAGGGGTTATTGGGTTCTACATCCACAAAGGCCTTTTTGCTCAGTGGAGGAACAGTGCGACTGTAGAGGACTGAGACATCAGGGTGACCGTCCTTGAGAGGAGCAGAGAGAACACACTGCATGCCAACGTTTGATAGAGGTGGAGGACGTGTCTCTCTCTGGTGGCTGCCTCAGGGCTCTTGGTGTGCCCCCCACATCATAGTGATTAGTCAACCTCCCTAGGACCTTTCTATGCAGACCAGAGAGCATCAGGTTGTATTACAGTAGAAGCTAGAGGCCTCAACCAAGGTCAGGGCCCCATTGTACTAGGCGCCGTACATGCACACAGTCAGACACCATCACAGCCCCAAAAAGCGTACGCCGTAAACAGACAAACGGGCTGGAAGGGAAACTGAGGCACAGATTAATCCAAGATCACCTAGCAAATCAGTGGTCAAATGGGGCTAGAACACACCTCTCCTGATTTCCAGCCTAGTACCCAATCTACTAGGGCACGCTGCCTCCAGACCCAGAGCATCTCTTATTTTGAGGCAGCACAAAAACTGACAGCAAGGGGACCTGCGCAGAATAATTCCAAGTCCCCATCCCTAGAGCGAGTGGCTAGATGGACAATTATGCTCCATGTGGTCCCTTAACGGAATCCATATCTGACCCTTGATGCTCTGTGTTTACACGGAGGAAGGCAAGAACCTAGTCAGCCAGACTCAGCTATTGGCATAGTTGCAGTGGTGCATGCAAGAAGACAGATCTTTCAGCTGGAGTAAGCTGGCATAGCTCCACTGATTTCAATGTTGTTACACCCATTTACACCAGATAAGAACCTGGGCCCATCGCTGGAAGTTAGGAGCCTAGATACCTTTGAGGATCTGGGCCTGGACCCTAGCGGAGACAGGCAAAGCTGCTACACACCGGGACTGGCACCAGTGCCACTTCCCCGGTCTCAAGCTCCATCAGTGCAAACAGCAGCTTTGCCTATCTGTGGTTTGGCACCAGTGGAGCTGGTGGTAATCAGGGCAAATCTCCTGGGTAGACAAAGGGCAACATTTTCAAAGGTGCTTAAGTGATTTAGGAACCTAAGTCCCATTGACTTTCAAATGGCCTTGGAAATCAAGACTCCGGCTCTTAAAACACCCAAAGCCTAATTATAGCTCTGGGTTCGCCCCTGCCTGTCTCAGGCCTCTGGAGACAGTAATTTGCTTGCAGTGTGGGGTGGGATCCATTGTTCTGCGGTGATATCAGCCCTGGGTGGCTGAGGGAATGTGGCTCTCCAGGCCTGGAGTGTGTAAACATGACTCACCGAACCACACAGGGTTTTGGCAAGTGCCGGCTGAATCACTGGGGGGGGGGAAGACACAAAAGCGGCCTCCCCCCGGAAAGCCGCCGTCTCACTTCCTGACCATGACACAGCAGCTGGAGCAGGCTGCAATCAGCACAGCTCACCAACAAACAAAAAGAGCCTTATGCGTTAAAATAACAAGTCAGATACCAGCCCCGACATTACCTTTCCTCTCTGTTCCATGGGATCCAGGCAGCCAACACCTGCTCCTTACCCTCCTTTATTATGCCTGGCTGCACCCCTGCTCCCCACTGCACTGACCTTTGGAACTATCGGGGCAAGGAAACCACGACAACCCCGGGCTTTTTTCCTGCATTCCCTGGGCCAGCATGTGCATTTGACACGCTTCCCCCAAAGCATCCCAAGAGTCTTTTTTTATGAAGGGTGTTCTTTCAATAATAAATAACAACAAACATTTAGATTATAAAAATGCATAGATGTGAAGGCTAAAAGGGACCACGGTGATCAGCATGTATGGATCATTTACCCACTACTGCAATGCGGTCACCTCTGGGGTGGAACATGGCATCTGTTTAATAGTGCAAAGCAACACTGCACAACAGTTTAGGATGGGAAGTGAAGAAGACTGTTGTATCCAAATGAAACTTTGAGGCAGTGTGGATGTTTAGGGAGGACAATGGGATTAACATCCATACTTTTCAAGTGCCATGAAACCTTTAATAACTGCAAGTGCTTTTATGTCTCATCTGAAATCAGTTTCCAAACCTGCT